TTGTGGGCACTTTTAAAATTAGTGAAAAGCTCGGTAAAAAGTCAAGCACGAGCTGTTGTGTTAACCAACAACAAAAACAATAATTATATTTTTTTTACATTTACAGGGCGTTGGATTTCGTATGATTTTGGATCCGGTCCTGGAAGCATTTAACAAGGCTTCGAGCAAGTCCGCCCGTGCTGTCAATCGGCGCATTGTGCAGGACTGGATCTGTAAGAAGGCCGCAGATCTGACATGAGAGAGGAAATTAAGAAGGAGGTCGACGGCAAGATGGTTTGACTCAAGCTTGATGCCGCCTCACGCAACGACGGGCACGTTTCGTCGATCAACATCCAGTACGTCCATGAGGGTAAACTGGTAGTGCGCAACCTGAGCATGAGAGAGACGACGGAGAGCCACACGGCCGAGTTCCTCTAAAAACTCATAGTGGAAACCCTTCATGACTACGAAATACTCTGCAGTCATGTGGTCTCTGGCACAGCTGACAATGGAGCAAACGTGAAGCGCGCCGTGAAGCTGTTGCCATGACCAGACCTGAGCACTGCCCAGTTCAAGTGCTACCATACAGCCATCATGGACTCTCATGACGAGGAAAATGAGGAACTTCATTCTCCTGAACCATCTACCAGGTAATACAACTGTCGCCTTATCTCACAGCTTTAAAAAAGACAAGTTCTTTCATCATTTTTTTTTCTGAAATTTTATTAGGATTCTAGTCCCTGATGCATCAGACCAGCCGTCCACATCAGCTGCTACTCCTGCTACTCAACTATACTGGTCCACGAGGACTCCTCCCGAGTAGGCAACCCGCACCCGACCCAGTCCCAAGGGCTACCTACTTTCAAGGGGTTAGCAGGAGTCCGCGTAAAATACTGTCTATGACATCGAAATTTTGTTTTATTTTCCAGCGAACAGGAGGAGAGTGACAGTTCAGACACTGAGCTCGAGGACGAAGAGAGGGGCTGCTCGGAAGAGGAAGCTGACGTGTTTCCGAGCATCGAGGAGTTGCCTCTCCCTGAAGTCGACGTTGGTAGTGATGTCTGCGAAGAGTGTCCTGTGGTCAAGAATGCCGTCCAGTTCAGTGGCGTAGTGTATGTCCCACGTGCTGCCCACACTCTGCAGTTAGCAGTTGGTGACGCGGTAAAGACCCCCTCCATTCAGTCGATCATCAGGAAGGCCAGAAAATTGTCAGCGAAACTGCGTACGCATCACTGCGTGCTGGCTTTAACATGGCGAAGGCGCCGTCCTCTGCAATGAAACCCGGTGGTCTTCGACTTACGCCATGATGGACTCTCTGCTCACACTCAGATCGCTGAGGAGGAAGCAGTGGCAGCGGCGGAGCCAGCAGCAAAAAGGGGCAGCAGGAAAGGGACTCGCACTGGGTCGGGATCAAACTCTACCACCACTTCGTCCACGACCTTCAGGTCCCCTCCCACCACTTCCACTGCCACACAGAGGAAGAAGAAGAAGATCAAGCTCCTCAACCTATCTGCCAGCCAGTGGCAACAAGTCAGCGCCTACTGCAAAGCCTTCAACCAGCTGCCATTGCCACTAAGAACTTGCAATAGACAACGCTTGCTGTCGGCCAGTTTTATGGAGAGTGGCTGGCATGTATTGAGCGAACAGGGAAGTTAGGCAATTTGTTGGCAAGGCGGGTTGTGGAGGCAATGCGGCGCATAGAGGAGAGCATGCTCGACTGTGACATCTTCTGCCCGGCCGTTTTCATGGACCCTCGATACAGGTGTCTTTTAACCAGTGACCAGAGGAAGCCGGCCATCACGTACCTTCAGGCTCTTGCTGTCCGACTTAAAACCCTAGGTCTAACATATGAGCAAGACGCTGGGGAGGTTTCCGTTACTGAGCGAGAACAAGAGGACGAATCAGGAGAGGAAGATGCTCCTGGAGGCACTCCTGCAGTCGACTGACAAAACTGAAGTAGTAAAGAGACCAATACCTTAAAAATTCTTACTGACTACGATGACTGGGGAAGGGTTCCGAAGGAAGTCGATTGTTTTCTGGTATTGGTATGAAAGGAGAACTAAACAGCCTTTACTGTTTAGGCTCTCTGAAGTCATGCTGGCTGTGCCTATGACACAAGTGAGTGTAGAAGGCACGTTGTCATACTCTAAACAAATTCTTGATGTCCTTCGATTTAAATTGTGATCTGAATCCGTCAATAATGTACAGTTTTTAGCCCGCCCTTCTGTTCTGAAAAAGCCATCCAGCGGGCTTATGCAAACGACCTCATGTCCCTCTGTGTGTCTGTCTGTCTGTTCCACTAGAAGGAGGTGTGCTAGAGACTTGAAATTTTCAGGGTATCTTAAGGTTCACTCCTAGAGAACGAAACGCCTACGGCAAATCCTGGCAACCACCTCTAAGGATTTGAATGTGGGTATCCAAGGTATCCATCAAATATTCGCCAAAAAAGTTATTTTTTATGTTCTTCTAAGGGGTATCGCCACTGCCATCGCCGCCGGTTGGACAAGCAGGCCCGGGCCCTGCCGAACGGAGTTGCCAGCTCCGCTTCGCTCCGCCGCCAACGCCGTTCGGCGGAAGGGCGTGCCTGTTTGTTTTAGTGTAACTGTCACTTGAAGTAAGTTTTTGGTATCAATATAGCTATGCTTATCAAGGTAATTTTCTTTTGTTAGTCTCTCTTGTTTCTACAAACTGACTTATTGTATTTATTTATTTCCACATTGTATTTACTCGAGTAACGTAAAAGTTTTACTCAAGTAAAGGCATTTATTTTGGACGACATGGTCTATTTTAAAACTACACTAAAACAAATCACTAGAATGGCAGGAACAATCGATTCGGTAAGGACCGGCTGAGGCTGGCGCGCTCTAGCGGCGTCCCCCAAAACGCACGCCCGCTGTGGCTGTGATGCGCACTCTATCGAAGGGGTTTTGACAGATGGCTGTCCTGCACCGCGATGCTCGGGGCGCTTTGGTCCTTTTCGGGCAGGTGAAGTGTGTAGTAAGGACTGGACGCGCCGCTAGAACACACCACCCTCTGCCCTCGGCCGGTCTTCATCGAATCCCTTTTTGTTTTGTTTTCCAACCGGGTTGAAAGGGGCGCTCATTGCAAAAATTCTACAAAAAATCTACACGTCAAAACACACGATGTGCCACACTTCGTGTTCTATGCAAGGGTCCATGACCAGGTGCGGCCTGAACTTAGCACAATAGAGTGTTCCGGCGACAGGCTTAGAGAAGACTCGTTGGATGAACAAAATAGAGCCCCGCAACGAGCGAGCTACGCGAGCAACGTTCCGGAGGCCGGTTGACGCGAACAGACGATAGCTAGCAAGCGGACGCCAGCAGATCACATCCGAAGAGTAGCCGAACGTTCGCCGAACAGCTCGGCACCGACTAGCACCGACGATCGGCTGGTCATAGTTTCGATTCCCGCTAACGCATTAATTTTTGGCACCAAAATTGTACCAAATTGAGTAAGAAATTGCATTCGGGCCTCCAAATCACATTCTCAGCATGGTTTTTTGAGTTTGGTAATTGGCTGAGCGATTAGCGAAGCCTATTACTCCAGTGATGATCAAAAAGTTTCGCGTCTGCCTGTCTGTCATCACGATAACTCGAGAACAAATTGAGCTAGCGACCTGGGATTTTCAGGGTCGTTTTGTGTCATAAAAAGACAGATCGAGTTCCAAGATTCAAAAATTGGATTTTTAAAAAATCAAAAACCACAGGTCCCACAAATAATCTTTTTTAAAAAATATTTTTTTTACAGGTTTCTAAGGGGTCACTCACCAAAGTAGAGCCCCCTGGGCGAAAATTTCGTCTGTTTGGCTCTATCTTTAACCATGTAGGCGCCACAGGGAGTTTTTCACGAAAATAAGCGAAAAAATGTTCAACCCTGCATGCTGCGTCGAAGTGACGGGAAGTTGACGGGCCGAAGGCCCGTATCTTTGTGTACATTTTTGCGCTCCCCGACTCGGGTGTCAGCGCCGCAGGCCTAGGTAGATGTATGCCAGGCGCGTCGCAGCGCAACAGTGTTTCGTGAGATATCGCGAAGCGTGTTACGCGAGACGTGGTCTGGCATACATCTACCTAGTCTAAAAGACGAGAAAATGAAATGCTTCTGGCGGGAGTCGAAGCTCCGCCACAGCCGCTCACGAGCTAGCGCGAGAGAAGACAGGACGAGCTATGCAGTTGCGAGACGAGACGAGCTGAATCTACCGTGTAGATTTCATTTCTGGGAACAAAATTCAAAATTTTTGAAATGATGAGCCCATTTTGCCAGAAGGTTACATTTTAGATCATTTTCCCATAAGAGATCTATGTTAAACTTTGATAGCGTGGTGCGACCTTTTCCCGATGTCCGATCAAGTTGACCGAGGTGTCAAAAATTTAAGTTTTGCAAGTGGCATCTCGATCCGAGCACTGCCCCTAACTTTTTAATCCTTCATTTTTTTTTGCCGCCCTGGGCCAAAATGACTCCGGCGACTGGTCTGAGGATATCTTCAAGTACTTGAAACGGAGTCTACTTTTTCAATCCCCTACTTTGCTCATCATGGAGTCAGAGAGGGAATATTGCATATCGATATCACCTTGATAGCTTAACTACGACGTAAGGTCGACCGTTTTTTCTCACATCTGCAAAAGTATATCATTAGTGTATCATTCATGAGATATGTTATTTGACATGTCGTGACAGTATCTAAACTTATGTAAATATATTCATGATATATTCTGTATGGCTTTATGGTGTTGCTGTCATGGTATCTGTTAAAAGACATGTTTTTATGTTGTGTTGGTAGCGAGCAGTTCGCTGGTCGGCCGCTAGGTGGCGCCGCGAGGCGCCCCGAGCAGCCGGCCGGCGACGGCGAGATCGTTCATTCCGTCACGAGAGCTGCTACCTCACACCACCGTCTTCCACCGTTGCGACCTAAGGCAAGTAGGTGTGTTTCCTACCCTAGTCCCGGACACAACATTTTAGATATCAGCCAATGTGCAAATTATATCTTCTGCTGTGTGGGTAAATTAATTATAAGAAAAGAAACGGTTTATTCAGGTTCAGTGCTCAAACATTTTCACCGTTGTCTGCTTTAACCAGGTCAGCTGCTTTCTCTCCTATCATTATAACGGGAGCCATAGTGTTTCCGTTCGACAAGCATGGGAAACTAGCTGCGTCAGCCACTCGGAGGTTCTGCAAACAAATATTGTAAATTTTAATACCAGTGTTCTTTTATCCGTGTGGTTATCATTTCTTTCGGTTGAACTTTGGGAAGTGTAGGACATTTAATGTTTCTTCGTAAGAAAAAGGAAAAGAAAATCAACTGAACTACCATGTGGTAGGATTCAAGCCGACCATTCCTACACTGTTGCGTTTTCAGATCAGCTGTGTGCATATGCACACTATCTAACCAGTGTATTTTTGGCCCGCCCTTCTGCTTTGAAAATAAGCGTTAAAGCGGGCTTATGCAACCGCTCTCGTGTCCGTCTGTCGTCCGTGTAAGAGGAAGGAGATGAGTTAGAGGTCTACAGTTTTCAGGGTATCTTAGGGGTCACTCCTGGACAACAAAACGCCAGGTGCAAATTCTGACAACCACCCTAAGGGGAG